GTCAGCTGGTTATCTTCTCTTCTACACATCATTTGACTTCCAGCCACCTAAGCACTTATTCAGGTCTTAAATGAACGCAGTGGTATGGAATGGTGAATTAGCTGCTTTAGCGAAGTATAGACTGGCCTGCTCAAACTACTGGCTGTTCAACATTCACAGCAGTCAATTTGCACAAGATTTGCATTTCCCATCAAAATTGTGTGGATTCCATAGAAACAACAATATAGCGAAAATGAGTCCGTTAATACAACCCTTGCAATTATGCCTCTTAACAAAGTTCAGGAATGCTTCACTGTATTAAGACAGCGTTAAGTGTCCTATATTGCAGTCGAACCCCTCTTTAACGATACCCATACTCATGTACATACAATATTTTATTGTCCAATAACACATTCTCAAAAACACTACAGTTAATCTCAGTAATAAGTACGCTTCTTTATTAGCTGAGTGCTGTAATAAGCCCTACTTTTTCCGAAGGTAAAAACCTTCGGATAATAGCATGTTGATGGTCAGACTCACCACAGTCAGTAGACATAATAAGATGTCGTCTAGACACTATTTCTGACTATTTTAGTAAAATATTAGTCATCTGTTTTGATCGAATAATGATAAAATGACTTTTGAAAGTCTGTCTACAGACATAGCCCATGGAATAGTAGCTTTGTGTAAGTGAGAGATCTTAAGCTTGACATTGCTAATGTCCTGTTTTATTTCTTTTGTGTCTGGGTCCTGTTAAATAGACTAACATGACCTATTAATATGAACATCCCATTAGTACAGGTTCTTTCTGCGGTCCCCTCAGAGTCCTTATTAACAGGAATCAACTTATAGACTTCTTAACAATATTTGTTGTGACTGTTTGACTGCTGCTAATTGGGTTTAGAATGTGTCACAAGGGCCGAGTTATCAGTCTGAAATTAACAGATTTAAATTTATTGTAGTAATATTGTCAGTCTGTATATACACTAAATTCAGAGTTAACCCATTCTAGGTTAGACCAGGTTAGCTCATTGCTACTTTAAGAGAGTCAGGAACGAAATGATAAGTGGACTATTAAATGGTAGTAGATTAATAGTTAATATTGACTGTGAGGTCACAGAATAAACCTAAAAAAGTTTAAAATACATACATAACTATATGTCTCAAGGAGAGAATTTAAAAATATTATTGTTAGCTATTATTTTGTATTATCAAAGAATGAGTGGAGCGAACAAAAAAATAGTGCTCCATATTCAGTGTTTATTCTTTATTGAGTGATATTTGCCTTACTTTCCTTCTGATTTGGGCCTCTTGATTGTGTACATGTATGGATGTAGTGGTTTATTTTCATGCTTCCAAGGTAGTCCAAGACTAAATGGCCAATTAAATGGAGCGTTTGACAAAGGTCTGATCAGAGATGGCGCCCCGATAGCAGCATTCATGCATTCCCCTTGGTCAAAATATGTGTCAGTGGTAGAATTAAGTGTATGTTTAACTTTATCATGTTTATCATAAGTAAACACTTTGCCTTGAACAACTGGATGGAACCAACGCTTTGTATTACAATGTTTCTAGTGTTCATTTTTAGGGTAAATTTAGAGTTATAATGTATATGAATTTTTATTCCCTGCGTGCAGGCCTTCATGCTTTTCATGTCCAATATAAACAAACGGATACGAATCATGCCAACAGCGGCACAGGTCCGCCAACGACATGTAATGGCGCCCTGAGGGTCGCATAGTACAATATCGTTACCATTGGTGTAAATGGAAAAGAGGCCAGTCGATTCGTCTGTTGGTGTTATCTTGTACTTTAAGCATCAACTAAGAGCAAAAAATAACACATGAATATTCTTCGTTCTACAGGCCCTTCACTCAATACAATTTCGCTTTCACACAAAGTATAAACGCGCTAATAACGGGGTGTCAAGCGTCGGTCCTATATTCCCGTAAAATCCTATTTTTTCAGACCTTTCCTCTAAAGTCCCATAAATTCAGCTAATTCGTTTATTTTCCTATATTTCTATTTTCATGAAAAATTTCAAGAAATATTTAAAAATTTAAATAAATGTTTGATTGGTAGTTAAAAATCCACAATTCAGGAAAGTTTGATATCGCAACTTCAAGGATGTTTTCTGCACCTCAAAATGCAAAATGTTCTTTAAATTTACGTTCAGTTTTCTTTCTTCTAATGGAGTTAGCCATATGAAGGCTGTAATTTACGGATGCTTCCCCTGATCTGAAAGAATATGAGTGCATCCAGAATGGTGTCTTTTGTTTACATTTGGCCTAGTTTCTGTAATTCTAAGTGTTATTGTCAGTATTATTTAGTTACTTAGTCCTTTTCAGTGTGAATTTAGATCAAATCACACCACTGAATTTGCTGCCGTTGCCTTATTTGATTTCATTCGACGTGGTATGGAACAAGGTTTACTACTGGCGCTGTTTATTGTCTTGCGTAAAGCGTTTGATTCTGTCGATCACAATCTATTGATAAACAAGCTAGAGTCGTATGGACTTAAGAACACTGAACTGAATTGGTTCAAAAGCTATTTATCTGATCGCAAGCAAGTTGTTAGCGTTGGCAAAGAGACCTGATTATTGCCCAATTACTTCTGGGGTTTCCCAAGGATCAATTTTAGGTCCCTTACTGTTTTTTGGTTATAAACGATCTCCCAAAGGTTTTTTAAAATCTTAACTAAACGTTAAATTTTTATGTATGCTAACAACACGGTTACTTATTTTAGCACTACCGATTCTCAAGTAATAGCTCACACCTTGACAAATGAATTGGCACTGTTAAATAAATGGCTCATAGATAATAACTTGTTTATGCATAAGGGCAAAAAGGAGTGTATGTTATTTGGCACTGGCCCCAGGCTAGCACTTTCTACTTCTTTTTCTGTACCTTTGATGGAAAAGCACTTAATCGCGCTTCTTGGTATAAATATCTTGGGGTTGTTCTCGATGCATCGCTTCCGTGGAATGTGCACGTAGAGTACTTGACCGGTAAGGTTAGGAAGAGATCAGCAATGTTAGGCCGAATTACGAAAAACATAAACCAGTACACGGCAGGTACCGTTTATACGTCTTTTGTTCTTCCTCTTCTTGATAAAACTGCGATGCTGTGTGGAGCTGTTGCGGGAGCGTTAACGCTGATAAGTTGGGGAAGTTGCAGAGGCGCGCAGCACGTATTGTTATGCGTCTGGGGAGCAGCGAAAAAGTGCTAGATTTCTTAGGTTATGTAACTCTGGAGAAAAGGCCCTCTAGGAGGCTTGTCGCCTTCGGCCACTCAGGACTTCTCCCCCAAATGATAAATCCTAGATAGAATCCTGCCTACCGATCACAATCGCAGAAACTGAGCGATCGTTTTTACTGATAAAATGAATCAAGACCTGCTCTAGGTCAACAATGTCTGAAGAGCGTTTCTCTGATCTCGCAGTGATCGCCATGTACTACTCCGAGAGATTCGAGGTAGAGGTAGACGAGGTAAAGGCTCATCCAAGAAAGCTCTTGCAAGCTGGTCTGTTTGATTGAATAGCTGGGGAAAGAAAGAGACAAACAACCATCGTTGTTGCACTGTACTCTTAGTCCATAATAGTGTCTCACATTTGACAAATTTATACCTCTGAAATCAGATGAAGAAAATCTACATATTCAAACATTACCCTCCCCCTCCCCATTCCCCTCCCCCACTCCTTTAGTCCCGAGACGTTTGCCTTGAAATCTCATACTTACAATCCCCTCTTTGAAAAAACCCTGGATCCGCCCCTGGATTTTTATGATTTTTCTAGTAATTCTTAATTTTTAAGTTACAACATTTTATAGCTATTTTTATTTGCTCTTAATTATGACTATTATTTCTATTCAATTTAGTTTATCATATAGGGTCTCTATGGATAAAAGTTTTTATTTTGTACAAGAACTGAAGGAGTTACCCTCTTGAAATGAAGGTTTCTCCATTTCTGTATTCACAGGACTGTCATTACTGAGTTTTGGACTTGAACTTCGTGTTGATATTGTCAACCATTGTTACATTGAAAAGAATTTAAGACTGCCGAGGAGTTTATTGTTACTGAGGTGATGTTATGATCCCAGAAAAAAAAACAGCGTTATTTTGACTTTCAAAAGTAAATGATGGCCAACCATCGCAGAAATCTGGGATGCGTCGGGGAAAAGATTTGTTTCCTACTATCCCAGACGATCGGAGATATCTAAGATTTCGAGTTTTCGTTAGTGGACAAAATTTGGGACGATCGGGAAACAGTAAAATTCACGAACACCTAGAATTTTCCCGACATATAAACACCAGGTTTAAACAAGCCAAAAAGTCTTAGCCTAACGTTTAGCCCGTTTTTACCTGCAAAGAGAGTTTAGCAGAGGTCATGTTAAAGCAAGTTCGACGGAGTTCGTGTCCACTGTCCAGAGTTTTAAATTGTGGTAGAGAAATACCGTTGTGAAAGTTCCATTAATTTTGGTATAAATCTTCTTCCAGGTTCCAATATGATTAAAAAGAATAGTTTAGTCTGGAAACACTGTGTTCAAATTCAAACTTTAACCTCCTTATGTAAGAACTCCACAAGTTATCTTCATGTAATTTTTTTTATCGTCCCTGTTTCAAGTCTTGTATAAAAGCGGTCTATTTTTCGCAGGTGGTCCTATTTTCCCTGACAATCACACACGTAATGTTTTGTTCCCTTTTTTCAATTTGTCCTCGCTATTATGACAAAAATGGGAAAATAAAGATGAGACTGTCATCGAAACTTAATGGTCGTCTTAAAAAATTGAAAATTCTATATGGTGTTGACATTTCGGACCCATTATGCTTTATGTAAAAAGTGTCCGGGAACAGCGCGCGACAAAGTGGAATATTTGCAAAACCTAACAACTTTAATCAAAAATTATAAATGTATTCGTTCCTTAAAAAAATAGTTCTGAGAGGAAAGGGGAATAAAAACGTCCTAGCCGTTTAATCCTATACAAAGTGTCTTGACACATCACCTGCCCGCCTGCTAAAAGGCTATAACGAGAAGGAAATATTTCATTGGTTTAGGTAATTGAAGAGAGCGCAGTGACCTTATTTTGACTTTTAAAGAAAATGAACAATGATTGACAATTGCGCCAGTTATGGAATTCCCGCAAAAATTATGTATTTAAATTACTTCTCTACCACGATGAAGCTAGTTTCGGAGAAGATGCTATTGGATGGAACTACGACTAACAAATTTTGTTTCATGACTGTTTATGTCCCTGTTGTTTACATTAATCACAAAGCGGATAAATGTAGGTTAAATTATCTTTAGATCCATAGCGCTGGTTATCGTCTGCAACGCAAGCAACAAATTTAGAAAACAAAAGCAAAAGGAAAAAAGCAGTCAACGGTGTGTGAGGACGCTACATAAGTAAAACGACCGAGGTCAGTGGGTATGAGTTCAAGTATATGTTTTTTAACTGAAATTTAAACTTCTTTCTTCTATTTACACAGCGACAATCAAATGAGGCCTAAAAAGCGGCATTTGGTTTTGTTTCCTCTATGGAAGCTTATAAAACCGACCATATTTGCGTTAAATTAAATATGTGAAAGATGCAAATGCTCTACTTAGTTTCCTTTGATAGTTAGTTCAAATTTTGTGACTACAACTTATTTTCTAGACAAAAAGTTGAAAATAGTCTTATTTCCGCTACATTAAATATGTGAAAGATGCAAATTCTCTACTTAGTTTCCTTTGTAGTAAGTTCAAATTTTGCGTCTACAAGTTATTTTCTAGGCAAAAAGTTGAAAATAGTCGTATTTTACCATTGAAAGCAAGAATTAATGTTCTCGTTGTCTACATTAATCACAAAGCGTTTTTCGTAGGTTAAATAGCATTTGGATTTCATCCCTCTACGGAAGTTCATAAAAGCCACATTTGCGTCAAATTAAATATGTGAAAGATGCAAATACTCTACTTAGTTTCCTTTCATATTTAGTTCAAATTATGTGACTTCAACTTATTTTCCTAGACAAAAAGTTGAAAATAGTCTTATTATACAATTCAAAGCTAGAATTTCTGTTCCCGTTGGTTACGTTAATCACGAAGCGTTTTTCGTAGGTTAAATTGTCTTTGAATTCTCAGGGCTGGTTATCGATTGCAACGCAAGCTGCAAGTTCAGAAAACAAAAGCGAAAGGAAAAAAGCAATCAACGGTGTGTGAGGACGCTGCATCAGCAAAACGACCGAGATCTGTGGGTGTGAGTTCAAATATATATGTTTTTTTTTTACCGAAGTTTAAACTCCCTATTTCTATTTTTTTACTATTGACACAGCGAAAAGAGACCTAAACAAATAGCATTTGGATTTGTTCCCTCTACAGAAGTTCATAAAAGGCACATTTGCGTCAAATTAAATATGTGAAAGATACAAATGCTCTACTTAACTACTGGCGCTGTTTATTGTCTTGCGTAAAGCGTTTGATTCTGTCGATCACAATCTATTGATAAACAAGCTAGAGTCGTATGGACTTAAGAACACTGAACTGAATTGGTTCAAAAGCTATTTATCTGATCGAAAGCAAGTTGTTAGCGTTGGCAAAGAGACCTGATTATTGCCCAATTACTTCTGGGGTTCCCCAAGGATTAATTTTAGGTCCCTTACTGTTTTTTGGTTATAAACGATCTCCCAAAGGTTTTTTAAAATCTTAACTAAACGTTAAATTTTTATGTATGCTAACAAAACGGTTATTTATTTTATCACTACCGATTCTCAAGTAATAGCGCACACCTTGACAAATGAATTGGCACTGTTAAATAAATGGCTCATAGATAAGAACTTGTTTATGCATAAGGGCAAAAAGGAGTGTATGTTATTTGGCACTGGCCCAGGCTAGCACTTTCTACTTCTTTTTCTGTAGCTTTGATGGAAAAGCACTTAATCGCGCTTCTTGGTATAAATATCTTGGGGTTGTTCTCGATGCGTCGCTTACGTGGAATGTGCACGTTGAGTACTTTACCGGTAAGGTTAGGAAGAGATTAGCAATGTTAGGCCGAATTAGGAAAAACATAAACCAGTACACGGCAGGTACCGTTTATACGTCTTTTGTTCTTCCTCTTCTTGGTAAAACTGCGATGCTGTGTGGAGCTGCTGCGGGAGCGTTAACGCTGATAAGGTGGAGAAGTTGCTAGATTTCTTAGGTTATGTAACTCTGGAGAAAAGGCGTGAGAGTCATGTACGCAATCTAGTTAAGAAATGCTCAAGTCACTGTTGGCCACAGTTCTGTATGCACTATTTTAATTATAACAAGGATGTATTACCCAGAAGAAAAAGGAGCAGTGGTGAACTTAGACTCCCGTCTATAAAGTTAGAATGCACGAAAAAAAGCTTTTTTAAAATTTATGGTTGTGTATTTTTTTAATCAGATTTAGATTTCAGAGGCGGATCCAGGGTGGGGGGGAGGGGGGGGAGGGGAGGGTTGCAA